CACAGATTCTTGAAAAGCCTACAAAACGAGGACATATGATTTTACCATCAAAACGGGGACATTTTTATTTTAAATGATTATGGGTGATAAAGATCTATTTTACTATTTATTTGTATATGTCATTTGTAGTTGATTTATGGTTACTATGTATTTGTACATGTCATTTGTAGTTGATTTATGGTTACTATGCATTTGTACATGTCATTTGTATATGTCATTTGTACATGTCATTTGTAGTTGATTTATGGTTAATTTCCAAGAAACACTGTATCAGAATGTTTGCCATTAGAATGGGGAAACACACATACAGTGTTAGATATTATAAAATCGAATAGGGGACATTCAATAAATATGTATTTTGATTCTAAATAGAAATCAATTCAATCTAAATACTGCAGTAGTCTGACCTCATTCACATAGTTCCCACTCATATTAACAAACTAAATTAAAAGTATCATGTTGAATTTGTACATTATGTTTTTGCAGATATAAGTGTAAATGCACATCAAAGTGTTTGAAGAAGTAGAATTGTCAGATTTGTATGGAAATACAGAGAATTTGTCACTTTTTCTAAATTGAAATAAACAACGATCGGCATGCATATTTTCAGTTACAATAATTTATTGTCAAGACTACGGTATAAATTAAAAATGTCCCTCAAAATAGAACATTTTCACTTTGGTGTTCAAAGATTTGCCACTTTAATGCAATTGCCTTCATTAATAAGCCAATGCATTATATGATCTCTTTGATTACAAAACACCAAAAATGTATTTTTTTATGATGGCATGGTTTAGTTTTAGTGCGTTCAGGTCAGAACCGCATGAGTGTTCCAGGAGACGAATAGTAACTATTAAAATCGAATTGTGTGGGTTGATTGTGTGACTCCATGTGCATTATTTATGATAAGGAATGGTACACAGTACAAATGAATGATTGAGAAGGGACTGTTCCGTTATCTGGAGGCTCCTTTCATTCTTACTATGATGGTAAATTTGTTTTATAGCTATAGTTGAAATGAAGCTTAAAATCATGTTTCGACTGCCTTAAGGTAGCGTGGGAAAAATAGTTCCCTAAATTTGGTGTTTGAGTTGTAATTTGTATTTTATGGTAGTACCGGCGCTACGTTATGGAAATGTAATAAGGAGACACCATACCGCTATAAGTAAGGCCAGCAATTATGCAGATTCCTCAGCATGAATATGTCTTGTGTTATACCAGTCGGATGTATTCTGAGCGAGGAGACTATTATAGTATTGGAGTTGGGACTTAGTGTTCAACATCCGATACAACATTTCTCGCCTGTCCTATATAGTCTGATAACTGCAGAGTATTGGAGGTAGGACTTAGTGTTCAACATCCGATACATCATTTTTGGCCAGTTGTTCTGAATAGTCAAGCGCGGCCCCGAGTGGCGGAGTGGTCTAAAGCGCTGTCCGTTACGGATCACTGCCATCTCACCTCTGTCAAGGCGAGTTCGAGTCCAGACTTGGCTAACGTGGGTAAGAGAGAAAGCCTGCCAGTAGCTTCTCGTGGGTCGGTGGTTCTTCCCGGGGTTTTCCAGGGTTCTTCCTCCACCATTAATACCGGCCGCCATGTATAGCCTATCTTGTGCTGAAAAATGGCGTTAAACTCCATACCAACAACAACAACTGAATAGTCAGATAACTACAGAGTATTGGTTGGAGGTGGAACTTAGTGTTCAACATCCGATACATCATTTCTGGCCTGTACGGAATAGTCCGATAGCTGCAAAGTAGTTTTGAGAATGTAATGGCTAAGTGGTAGATATATTTCATTGATGTTGATCAGTGTGCCAAAATGAACGCCATATTTGTCCATGAACGCCATATTTGTAGAATGAACGCCATATTTGTCCATGAACGCCATATTTGTAGAAGGAACGCCATATTTGTAGAATGAACGCCATATTTGTCCATGCAAACAGCAATATTAATGCCTTCAGAAATGTAATGTTCCAAAACAATAAAACAAATCAGAGTAATAGCCTCGATAAAATCCGTTGTCTTCGATTATGTCCAATTGCTTGAATTAATTAAAAATGATCTTTTTCCTGATCCTATGTTTCTACCGTATAGTTACGCATTATCGTAGATATAGGAAATAAAATGCTGCATGATGCCAAATAGTTTTAAAATACAAAAAAAGTATAAGTATCGGTAATCCTTTTATAGAAAAAAAAAATATTTTATTAAAATCTGCAACATAGTTTAATATTTCTAGACATTATCTGCACAATGTTGACATTTAACACGTCTTAGAAATAATGGAGTCATGTGATACATAAATGATGCATACCACCCTATCGCTTTCACCAATAGTATTGCATTCGTATCACTTTACGAGCAAATTATACATTTTTGTTTACAAATTTTCCTGCAATTGCATTCATCAATATTATTTTCAAAATAAAATTAATGTGGCGAGAATGCAGTTATTCAGGCGGAAGTTTCCTTTAATTTAGTATTTACGATAGTTGACTCATTTCTTCCAGAACATGCAATGTCCTACGTGAAATAAGAAAGAGCTTTAAGCAACGTATTTCGATTCAAATTTGCTCATTGGCTGCGTATGTATTAACTCTTTATGAAGCACGTCAATCATTTAATGCTATCAGTTTAATTCCTACATTTGTATGTGCATAAACACGAAATATTTGGACCAGAAAGGTAAATCATTTTAATCCTGAGGCTATATAAGTCTAATTACTGACGATGCAGCAGGCAAGGATACTGTTGACAAGTAAAGGATTTTCGATATCATGCGTTTGCGAATCTTTACCAATGATATTCTTATATGAAAGTTGGACAAAGTTGCTGTTGGATTTATTGATCCTCTATTTTCCATTGAAAATGTGCATAGTTTGAAAGGATTATATTCAAAAACAATAAACAAACGAATTGCGCAGACATAACCTTATTAATGATAAAAATTGAGTGTGGAATTCCTACAGTCTTAAAGAAATCAAATGTGCTCACAACCGTGCATATCGTCCATAGAATGCGAGAAAAGTTTTGGCATACACATTAAGATCATTACTGAGTAATGCCAGTGTTCTAGTTAGCATCATACAATTATCAAGCTCTTAATGAGCAAAACCAGTGTTTTAATTAGCATTACACCACCATTAAGCACTTAATAAATAATACCAGTGTTCGAATTAGCATCACCACCATCAAACACTTAATGAGTAATACCAGTGTTGAAATTAGCATCACACCAGCATCAAACACTCAATGAGTAATACCAGTGTTGAAATTAGCATCACACCACCATCAAACACTCAATGAGTAATACCAGTGTTGAAATTAGCATTACACCACCATCAAACACTCAATGAGTAATACCAGTGTTGAAATTAGCATCACACCACCATCAAACACTTAATGAGTAATACCATTGCTTGAATTAGCATCACACCACCATCAAGCACTCAGTGAGTAATACCAGTGTTCGAATTAGCATCACCACCATCAAGCACTTAATGAGTAATACCAGTGTTGAAATTAGCATCACACCACCATCAAACACTTAATCAATAATACCAGTGCTTGAATTAGCATCACACCACCATCAAGCACTCAATGAGTAATACCAGTGTTCGAATTAGAATCACCACCATCAAGCACTTAAAAAAGAATATCAGCGTTCGAATTAGCATCACACCACCATCAAACAATTAATTAGTAATGCCAGTATTCGAATTAGCATCACACCACCATCAAACACTTGATAAGTAATACCAGTGTTCGAATTAGCGTCACCACCATCAAGCACCTAATAAGTAATATCAGTGTTCGAATTAGCATCGCACCACCATCAAGCACTTGATAATACCAGTGTTCGAATCAGCATCACCACCATCAAGCACTTAATAAGTAATACCATTGTTCGAAATAAAATCACCACCATTAAGCACTTAAAAAATAATATCAGTGTTCGAATTAGCATCACACCACCATCAAGCACTTAATGAGTAATACCAATGTTCTAATTAGCATCACCAGAATCAAGCACTTAAAGTGAAACAACTAAGGACCTGTAAATGTTTATATTCTATTCAAGTATAATTGTTTTAAACTAAGCTAACGATTGCTACGATACATGAGACAGACCCAAAGTTCCTCTTGTCAATAAATTTCAGATTAAATTATAAAGAGCAAGATCCATTGGAAGGTGGCGATCAAAATTATATTTAGGTCTTCTCAAAACTTTCCAACAGTGACGCTCTTTCCTTTCGTCATATAAAATGAAACTGGAAATCGTCCTTATTATTGCATTTGTACTTTGTATAATTACGTACTGTCCTCTAACATTCGTTAATCACAATATATGCTCTATTTGTTATTGACCATCCAATATTGTTTTCTGCTGTTTAGTATAATGTTCCTAACAATATTGAATATTTTTTTCGTCTTTCTTTTGCCATTTTTCTCTTTTCACCGGTACAATAGTATCATAGATAATTGTATCTATAGAATTTTGCTAAGATTGAATACACACTTCGTGATTACACCAATCAGTTTTTTTTATTAAAAACATTTTTAGTTTAGCAGCTTAAAAGAATTTGTATTTTTCATGACTTGTATCGAAGCAAATGCAATTTTCCCTTAGATCTAACAAAATTATATTATATTAATACGTACATTTAATTACTTTACGTTTATGTTTTATACTGGTGCCTCTGGGCCTATAATTAAATAACACTTTGATGACTAGGATGCTAACCATAATTCTTTTATTTGTGTGATTAGGATTTTTAATATATTTTCATCAAATGTTCAATCCTATCGCAACGATGTTTGCAGTGTGGCAGCTAATTGTGATGTCTAGCAATGGGGCATCACGCTGCAAACATATAGCATCATGTCACTCTCATTCATATTATCCAGACACCAAGCCGACCACACCTAACACTAACCTCTTAATGCTGAGAGCCTTGCCAGGCAGCTGTTAATGCCAGTTTTAAGTTTCTGGTATGATTCGGCCGGGGTTCGAACTCGCGACCTTCTGCATCCGATGCAAACGCTCTAACCACAAGGCCACAGGAGCGGTAGTGCCATTTTGACTTGTTCTCAATTGCAATATGTTAATTAAATAGTCAAATAAAGTCCTGAAATCAAACTTTACTGTAAAACTATCCCAAAAGTAACAATGTATTAAAATGTTCCTAGACTTGATATGCGAGTTGGGTTTGTGCTGGATTGCTGTGAGAAGGATGACAAAGCACAAATAACAGTGTCAACATGCGTGTGAAAGCTGATATCTTTAAACCAATACAAATTTTGGATTTTGTGAAATTATGCTTCGAATGGTGATTGCAGATTGTATATAATTTGTCACAATTTTGAAATCAGTTCATCAATTCTGCTCCCTGCTATATCTGATGTCAGCAACTACTTTATAATTGTGGTGTCCTCTGTCTCAACCCTGAAAGGCAAGTGCCATGTACCGAATTTTAATTATTTGTTTAAATTCGTCTCTTATCGGCAGTTATTTCATCCTCTGTTGTTACGCAATTTACATTATTAATAACACTGGATCAATGAATAAAACCTTTGTGTTGAAACGCATTAGCGAGTCTTCTCCTGCACAAACAACTATAATGCTTGTCTTGCCTTTTTCTTTCAATTTATGTATATTAGACGGATTTTATATATTATTGTACTTAATCTTCACATTTATTTGGAAGGGTTTACCTTCTTGTTTCTATCTAGTTTTACATTCTTTCATAAAATGCTCTTATACGCATTTATTGGAGCAACTTCGTTATCACACTTAATGACTTTACTTTCCCTTACAGATGGCCCGCGCCTCCTAGCCGCAGTCTTTAGTAAGTGTGCGTCGTATAAAATACAACTGACTCGGTCATAAGATGTAGTGTTAATGAGCAGATCTCGTCTTTCTCTTCTAGCATTGAGCAAACTAACACTCTCTGTATCGTATAAAAATGATCGATGACCACTAATTTTCATCTGTCAATCTTTGAAACGTTTTTATACCAATGATGAACTAGTTGTCGCCTCCGTGGGCAAAGGTCAAGTTTGAAATATCGCTTTTTGCTCTGCTTGATTTCCCATTCGAAAAGAAAAAGACATAATTTTATATACTAATCTTCGTTAATTTCGTGATATATCATGATGCTCTCTCTCTCTCTCTCTCTCTCTCTCTCTCTCTCTCTCTCTCTCTCTCTCTCTCTCTCTCTCTCTCTCTCTCTCATATGAGCATCTCTTAATTCACCATATGACGGAAAAAATCGAGGACATCGAATGAATGAATTGTCGGAAACGTAAAAGAACTACATCAAACGAATAGAGACATTATTACATTCCGTACAATACTTGTAGTACAACTTATTCTATTAATGTTTAGAGAACGAAGCAATGAACAATTGGTTGAAAGCAAGTATGCAAGGCGGTTATTTATTAGTACCATAAGGTTCATTCTGCCCCCAAACAGAGGTCAATATTCTATGGAAGTCAAAATCCTATAGCGAACTTTCCTGCGACATCATAGGGCATGATCAGGTGGGGGGGTTCCCTAGTCTCTTTCTCAGAAAGACCATAGGTTTACTCAACATTCGATTCAATGCGCATGTTTACCAATATATATATATATATATATATATATATATATATATATATATATATATATATATATATATATATATATATATATATATAGAGCAACCGTTGTTATGCTGATAGACAGGAACATGAAACTATGCATATTTATTCCTGAGATGTCAACAATAAATTTTACAGTAAGAAAAGGGATATAACAGGTGAGGTTCATAAAGGTCAAAGGTCAAAGGGTAAAATATTAACTAATCCTTTTATATCGAAGAAAGCTTATTTGCTTTGTTATCATTTAATTTTTAATTTCATTGCAAATAATTGAAACGAAACATTTTCCCTTTGTATTTCTTTTACTTAATGCAACATTTTTCAATTTAAGTTGACTTTATTGCTATATTCAAAGACTTCTAATTTTCCCATAATGAAGGTCACTACTCACCCAAACATGACTCATAGCAAATTATTTATGCTAAAGATAAAGCAAAAATAAGCATAATTGGCTTTTTTTCATAAATAAAATTATTGTTAACCATTTTACTCAGAACATCATACATAATAATATGAAAATAAAAAAAATAATTGCATAAATGTTTATATTTGTTTTTAAGGTGGCGCTTTACAATTTCATATTTAGCAAAAGGTTAGAATTTTAAAGAAAGAGAGTTTTCCTGGGTTTCCTCGCCAGTTTTACTGGCTATTTAAAAGAGACTTTGTATAGTTTAGGTATTGTTCAAAGAACCTTTATTTCCCTTTATTTTGATGTATTATTGATGGGTGTAATATGGGTTCGAGAGTATACAGCTTGACCTTACTCCATATGTGCACCTTTCAAAAAAGTGCTAGCTCTACTTGCTCATTTTCTCTTCTCGAACTTCAGAGGTAAATTGTAAACAATATAGCCGATAACTTTTTTTTACATTTTATGTATTTGGTAACTCATTCATTGCACTTTTAGAAGCTGGTATTGTCTAGTTTGGCAAAATTAATTTTCTATATTATAATAGCTGCCAAGAATAGTGTACTTTAGACAAACCCAGGTTGAATTTTGGAGCACAGGGGAGCTTTCATAGCTTTCATTTTAATTAGCAGTGTCCTTAGATCATTTAAAATTTCCAAAAGTACAATATCCAAAGAACTGTCAGCCACATTACATGAAAGTAGCATATAGGTATGCCAACATTCTCTCAGATATGCATGTTTAAAATGCAAACAACTTCACCTTACATACATCACTCTCTCAAAAGTACATAATAACTGGTGAGCGCCACCTAAACATACATTATGATGTCATTTTCATATTATTATTTTCTTTTATTTTTTTAATATTTGGGATTTCAGTTAATGTGTTTGTACATATGAATAAAACTGTTTATCTCTATTTATCCATAAAATTGTTAACAAATTGTTTGCAATAGAGATATATGTATCTTTAGGATCCATTTTTATGTATATTTATGTTTCTAAATGTGATATATGTGTATATCTAGGTATGTCTGTGTATATGTATGTATATATATATATATATATATATATATATATATATATATATATATATATATATATATATATATATATATATATATATATATATCAATTATTCATTTAAGAATAAGACACATTCAAAATTTAAGTGTGACGTCCTCTTGTTTATGTTATATTGTTTATTTATCACTTAGAAGCATATTATATTTTATGACGTAAACAATGGTATTGAATTCATTTTGAATTCAGTCTGACGAAGCAATAAAGCGAAACCGGTCACACATTCTACGTATTGGTGTTGTTTATGTGTTATATATATATATATATATATATATATATATATATATATATATATATATATATATATATATATATATATATATATATATATATATATATATATATTAGTTAATGTAACGGAACATGACTTAAATTATATACTCGACATCAAAACATTATTAGCAGGTATACAATTAACACTGCCTATTAAATGGCCTAATCTGATATATAGATCATCTTCCTTCGTCGCTATGGTGGTTTTGCCAACCATATCTATGCCAACGATTAGTTGGGACGTCATACAGGGAATTCCCAAAGTTCCCTATATCATTAGTTCTAAGCCCCAACAGAGGTGTGTTGTTTCTTGGAATGCAGAATTTCATATTATTCGCTCCAAGGCAAGACAGATATATTGTTTATACGGATACGTAGAAAAAGAGTGTACAAAGAAACAACATCAACGAAAACAACAACCATCCTTTCTCACTGACAGATGATTTTTTTATTAATATATATGTTTGAAAGCAGATTTCTAATTGCAACAACAACAAAGATATAAACTTGAGTCAATTAGTTGTCCATTGCTTTTGTGCAAACATTTTTGCCTTGATAAAGACTTTGTAATTCTTTAATATTAATAGTTTCGTTTAACATACATGCAAGGTCATTAACGTCTAAATATGGTAATTAAGTATGTGCTTAATATGTTTGGGGCTTTGGGAGTTTTTCATTAAGATGCTTAAAATATCATGAACACTTTGCCAATTGTTATCCAAAAATACAGGTTTTTATTATTTCCTGAGATAATTTAATTGTAAACGTCAACCGTCCTCCATACATATTGTTAGCAATTTAGTCCTCCTCGGTACGTTTGTACCGAAAAAGCCCATATTTTATATTTATGTCCGAAAGAATTTTTAAATCACAAATAAATAAGTTTTAGGTCAAACTTGGTTTTATGTCTAAGCTGGATTTATGTCTGTAAAGATCACACGAGATTGATGTTTATGAGGATATTTAGAGTCATTCAAAGAGAGTGATAAATGTAAAAGTCATCTTTCAGAGAGTAAATCAGTAGATGTAACGGTTCCAGGTCTATACAACTTAACTTTATTTTGACTTTTTTGTTTTCAAAGTCATCGCTCTTCCTTGCACGTAAGTGCAGGCAAGAATGGTTTAGGGACATCATGAGGTCTAATCAATCTGAAATCGTGACTTGCTGATTGCAGATGACGCTAAATCGATCGCGGACGTTATCAAAAATAAGAAATCATATACCAGTCAACACGAACTGGGCAGCAGGAATTATACTCGTGTCAGAAGTAATCAATTAAATGGTTTATATCGTGTGGTTATTTCCAACTACGTAGTTAAATTGACAATAAAGAGACGGGATGAACATTACTCCTCTTATCTCAGTGGCTGTATAAGAGAGACGTGGTTGATTAGGATGTGTCTCGCATGTAGGAAGTGTTATTGAATGATGCCAACTGATGGTCAACATTGTACCTATAACTTCATGAGATACGTTTAAATGTTTCCGTGACACTTTGAATATAGTGGACCACTTAAAAAGCCCACAATAGAATTGTGTGTAACAATACTGACGTGTATCTTAAGAATTAATGATAAGAAAAAAAAAACAATTTTATGGCTTATCTTTCATTTTGCCACTAATTTCCAGCCTCTCCCTTCAATATATGTTTGTTTGGT